TTAAATCTGGGTGTAATATTTTTGATTTTTTACTGTTAGAAATAGATTTTCGAGTTTATATTACATTTAAAAATTCAATACTGATTAGCATCACCTGAGACGATATAAATTGAAATAAAATTAAAGTTTCTTTTGTTTTCGCATTCCAGACTGATAGAAATAGTTCGTAACCTCCCACTAACTCTTTTCATTAGTAAAATTAACATTACAGAATCATGAACAATAGAAAAAATATTTCTCAAAATCCAACAAATTTGCTCGTTTATAAATTCTAATTTTAATTTTCATTTTATCACGACACGTAACTAATATAAATTTATGTCTGGAATACGAATTACGATATCGCTATACGTTACATTAAAATCACGCATAGCGATATAACAACTTTTGTTTATGGATTTGCAAAATACACCATTTTAAGCTATATTTTTAAGAAACTTCCGCGGTTTTGTTGGACAATAACAACGAAGTAACGCAATTTTGCTTTGTAGCGGAAAACGAGCGTCTTAATTCAAGGAAGGCGTTGAATACGGAGTAAAGGCCCTCTACCACCTGCAAAACAGTTAAACGAAATCATAATTTACACAATTTTAACGAATTCAAGTGTGGATGCAATTTACACTTGCACTTACTTTAATGAAGAAGTCCTTCTTGACAACAATGAATCCCGCCATCGAAAATCCCAGCGGAGTCTTTCCGTATCTCTTCGTGAAGCAAAGAATCTTTAAAGACAAAATAATACTGGATAAAATATCTGGAAAATTAATAAAATAAATGATATAATGACAACCTTGAACTTGGATGATAATTACACTGGAGATAAATTACACAAGGCCAATTTTCGAATTTCAGAAAAGTTGTCATATAGCTGTTGAAAAGAAAATCGTATTTGTAGTGAGAACTTTTACAACAGGAAACCAACAGGTGTACAGCAATACATTATATCTAATAGAGTAATGAATTTCGACGTGTTGAACGTTTATTGTGACTTTTATGCAAATTATAATATAGAAATTTTTACATAGATTATAAATTAAACCTCAGGGAATAGTGAACTGCAGCTCATTAATCGTGTATTAATTTTAATAATGTAAATATAAGTAAATAAACTTAATCAAGGTGTTTTACTTACTTTTGATGTAAAATTCGACAAAAGAAAAGCATATGAAAGTGTTCCACTCGTTACTGATAATACTTCAAACCACATTGCCAACTGTAGGATGGTTGGCATCTTGACAAAGAGTGCTCCGTACAGTAGAAAACACGTTAAATACAAATACAGTCCGTATTCAATTAAGTGCAAATACTTGTGTTTTTCGTTTATTTCCTGAACGATTTTCCACACGTCGGTTTGTTTCTCGATGAATTCTTCAATTTCGTTTCTAGACGTCGATCGTGGATTCATTTCTTGTAATTCCTCAGACAACTTCTCGTATCTTCGGTTGATGATCTGATATATCAAAATTTCTGCTACTTTTACCGACATTATCTGTCCTAAAGCAAAAATCGTAATCACTTGAATAAAAAAACAACATACAATCGCAACAACATCGTGACAGCCTTCTTTCTTCAACACGGGATAGGCGACGACAGACATGACAAAGGAGTAAGATACAGATATAAAGAATATGATGGAGAGCATGAACATGCAGACTTTTTCCATTTTTCTTGATAATTTTTCTTCTCCGGCATAACTGCTTCTTTTCTGAACGAAGGATATTTGTGCCCGTTTCAATATGGTGTTTTGCAGAGCCATGCAAAATGCTACGAAAAGGAAAACAAATTTTATCTGCATGATGCCGTCACCGAATACTCTGAATGCCTCGGTACAAATCAATTCGATTCTAGTAAACATTGATACGACCACCAAAACCCCGATCCATATTGATACTTCTACAATATTGTAGTAAATATTATAATATTTTTCGAATTTTAAGATCTCCTCCCAACAGGAACATTGGCAAGGATTGACGAATTTCACCCCAAACACTAGAATTACCATCAAGACTGGTTTCAGCAGACACGTAGGACAAGTTCTAGATTCGTTCTGAGGCTTCATAACTATGGAAAAAATTTTAAAAATAGATTAATTTAATATTAAATGAAAACAATTTAGATATTTCTTCAACAGCCGAAATTGAAGTTTCAATAAAAGTAGGTTTTAAGGCCGAGGACACATTGGCAATTTATGCGTGGGACTAGTCTGCCTCTATACACACGGTGATGTAGGATTGATGAGATCAAGCAACGAATACTTTGGCAATCTGTAAGGCGGGAGTGCCCCTCGACAGGATTTTCTAGTGGAAAGTGTTATTAGAGTGTTACGACGCTAAGAAACATTTCCACGCGGCCAGCCGATAGATACGGTTCGTACATGCGTCAAAACACTAGAGTTCAGTTCAAAAAGTACATACTACATAGTAATAATAATGATGATGAAATAAATATATTAATGAAACTGTAAAAAAACAAAAAATTGCTCGGCCTTGCGGGACAAAGATAAAAGATCATTCTCGTCCCGTTGCATAACTTTGGTGATTCAAATTTCGCAAAAACATTACTAATGCTCCAACCTGTAGCAGTAGGTTATGAGGTAGTAGTTCGGTTTGTTCCGAGGAGTTTAAACTCTACCGGGTAAATTTAGCAATGCATTTGTTCTTAGATGCCAACATTGCTCTCTCGTATTTACTGTACATTTGTGGTTTGTGTTGTGTTATCAAATTTGTATCCAGATCTTCAATGAATTTGCCATCACCGAAACACAAAAGTTGGTTAGCAAATTTCACTGAACATTTGTTTTCCAATAGATGGATCCTTATCTAAAGAGACAACTTTTTAACGTCATTCCACAGAGATGAAGCTTTTAGGTAGACATTTAAGCTACTGGGTAGGTGTCGGCAGGAAAACCAACGATTACAATATATTTATTATTTTGGTCAACAGACGGCGCTACATGTAACAGATGCGTTACATGTAGCGTCGTAGAGGTACGAAGGAGTACATGTCAAGAGTTGCAATTCGGCACAGAGTATTTGGTGCCCAAATCATGAACACATAAAATAAGCCAGACTTGTAGGTAGTCGGGGGACCGAGAACCGGGTCAAAAGGAAAAACGAAATGCTGACAAACATTTCGAATGCGAGATTTTCACATATTTTTGGGGTGGTCCATTCGGATATGTCGGGCCCTGTCCCCGACTATCCCATTGTGGGTCTGGCCAAATCCATAATGGGCCTGCTAAAAGAGGGCACTGTTAAGCCGGTTGCACACATGCGGCACGGCAAGGAAAAGCGGCAGGATGACGTCACTTTTTCTCGCTGCAGAAGTCGATTTTGTGCCGCAAAAGTTGGTTGAATTTTATCTTTAATGGCGGAAAGTTCGACGCGGTTAACCGAGACAACTAAAGCCTGGTACTGACATGCGGCAACGAACGACGGAAACAATTGCCGTTCCGTCGTCTTTCCGTGTCGCGTGTACTCACATGCGGAAATTACCCTACTATTGAAACGCGCCATCTGCCAGCCGTAAATATAAACAAGCTACTACAGTAGGTAAGTCACGTGTCAGTAGTCGAAAATGGCGTCTACCGGGATTGCTTTGTTATATTAATTAAACTTTTTAAGTTTGCCTTCGATCTTATCGCAAAAAAAAACCTCAAAAACGAATAATTTGGATACGAAAAATATTCTAAATCGTCGAAAGTTAGGAATATCGAATACTTTCGTCGCCGAATTACGCTTACTCCATTTCCAATACTTTACGCAGTAAGTAAGTCTATTTGACATTAATATTTAAATCGGATAGTAATATAGAGTATAAATGAAATATATTAGCGTATTAGTATACAAATAAAGCTTTTTAGCTTGCCGACCGCCATAGTTCAAATGCTATCGTTTCAAGTAATCTTTATGACGACATTGCTAAACGGTCTTCCTATTGGTCTAATTTTTACCGTGCCGCTTTCCGTCGCGGCAAAAGTTAAAAATTTTCAACTTCGTATTCCGTCGACCGTTGCCGCATGTGGGTACGAGGCTTAACATCAGAATAAAGAGGAAAGGATAATAAATTTAACACAAATTCTACACAAATAATCATATATAATTTAATTCAAAGAACAAAACAACCGAATCTTACTCGAAATAGTATTCTTTATCGAGGAATAAGCGTATTTTGTACACCAGTTCTTTATCGATCCAAAAAAATATCTCTAATCCAAAATCATTGTTCGAATCTTCTAACTAAATAAAGCGAGCCGTACAAAACAAAATTTGTAAACACGTGGATAGCGACAATATCGGTATCGTTCGCCATCTTGTATACTGAACGCACGCGCCGAAATGTAAGCGGATTGCCGCTTGTGTGGCTGTGTTTCCGCCCGGCGAAGATGCGTTTGCGATACCGCTTTTCCTTGCCGCGCCGCATGTGTGCATCCGGCTTTAGTACCCATGAGGTGAAAACAGTTTAAAAAAATAAATTACTATTCCAATACTTTGGGGTAATATATAGCTTATTGTTAATACTGGGATATATCAAAATCAATTACTATTATCAATATATGAGAATATCAATTACTCCAGTTCATACAGTAATACTAATACAAGCTTTGGTCCACATCGGTTTAAGAACAAAGATTTGTATAAAGGATAAACCAACAAGAATTGATTTTTATGTATATAAAGATTGCAAATTGCGCAGAAAACTTAATAGATAACACACTAAAAATAAAAAATTTTTAGTTAAAAAAAAACAAGTAAAAATTATACTCGTTCTATTTCCGAGTCGAGGATTCTATGAGCCAAAACAAGACAAACAAGTCGCAAGGAACAATCATTATTTTATTAATTTTATATATAATTTTAAATAAACAAGTCAAACTAACAAAAAAATTTGATCATCCTACTGCAGTTGAAAAACAAGAATGGATCAAGAAATCAATAATTAATCTTACAAATGTTGAAATACCAAATGATTATTTAAGGATCCTTTCTTTACGTATGAGTATGAATCTTCCAATGCAGTCTAAGAATTTGCCAATAATTGCGGAAATAGAACATGCAATAAGGAAACTTCCAGGAAGTAAAGAAGAACAAACAAAACTAAGAACAGCCATAAGTAAGGATTTAAACAAATTTAAAGGTAAAAATAAAAATAGTAGTTATATTATAGATAAAAAAGCTGTTAAAATAGCTAAAAAAATGAAAAGATTAATCAAATTTTTTAACAAAAAACATATTTCTTTAGTCATGGCAGATAAATCAAAGCAATTGGTGATTATTAAAAAGGAGGAATTGTTATCCAAAAAATTAGAAATAATTTCATCGGATGACTATGAATTATTACCAAGAAATCCTATTGAAGAAATTAAAAGCAATCTTACTAAATTAATTAAAAAATATAAGAATGAAATTCCAGCCAATCAAGTTAAAAATATTTTGGACTTTAATAATGTAAGAGAACCTAAGTTAAATGTAAGAATCAAAACACATAAGCCTGGTAATACTTGCAGACCCCTTGTGGATTTTAGAAGAACTGTTTTGTATAATTTGGAATGTTTTTTAAAAAATTTCTTTCAGAATATGGAGAAATCAACCTATAGTATACAAAATACAGAAGAACTAATTAACGGATTGTTAAAAGGTAACTATAAAAAATCTTTTCGTATTATGAGTTTGGATATAAAGTCTATGTACCCGTCTATCACTTTAGAAATGATAATAGAAAGTCTCAAAACATATAACGTTCCTGAATATATAATAGAACTTGTAAAATTTGTATTTAATAATAATTACTTTAAAATTTCTACAGAGTATTATAGGCAGAAGAAAGGTATTGCCATGGGATCGGTTATAGGACCAAAATTGGCTGATAACTATATGAATAAAATAGATGAAAGAATTTCAAGTCTAACAGGTATTAAATATTATGCAAGATATGTAGATGACATAATAATAGTTTATGATTCTCAAATAGTTTCATCCAAACACATTGAGGAATATGCAAATAGATTACATAAAAATTTAAAGTTTACAAGTGAAGATGAACAACAAAATAAAATGAATTTCTTAGATGTCACCATAAAAAGAGAAGAAACAAGTGTATCATTTAGTAAGTATGAAAAACTATGTAATAATGGTAAAACTATTAACTTTAAATCTTACTGTCCTTTAGAAAATAAAAAGAATGTCTTTAATATGGAATTGAGAAAGATACTAAATCGAACAACTCAGCAAGAAAACATAGACATCGAAGTAAAACAATTGTTTAAAAAATTTCAGTTAAATGATTATCCGAAGCATATTCTCTGTAAGTGGTACAATTTATATTTAAAACGTAGATTTAATGTTAAAAACAGCATAGAAGATATTTCTTATGTAAAGTTTCCTTATGTTACTAAAGTTTTTGAAAAATATAAACCAATATTTAAAAAATTTTCTGTATGCATAGTTGCGAGCCAAAAGAATAAGATGTCAAACATTATCAGCATAATAAACAGTGAAAATTCGCCCAGAGACCAATTTAAAATCGCCGGTGTCGTATATAGGATGTCATGTACATGTGGAAGCCCAAATTATTACATTGGAGAAACCGGAAGAAGATTGGAGTTGAGAGTAAAGGAACATGAGGCAGCCATTAGACTGAGAAGAACGGAATCAGCATGGTTTTTACATTGCAGAAAATTTAATTGTAATATAAATATAAAAAATACTAAAATTTTGTATAGAATAGAAAATAACTTAGAAAGAAAAATTGTAGAACATTTCTGTATCGCCGAACATGTAAATTTACTTAATTTGAATGCTGGAATGATTGTTGATGCATGCTGGGAACGGCTGTTGGGTATAAAACGTAACCAACGAATAACATCCTGATGTATCCACTGAGGAGGCCTAGATGGCGAAATGCATATGGATAAAATTAATAAAATAATGATTGTTCCTTGCTACTTGTTTGTCTTGTTTTGGCTCATAGAATCCTCGAAGTCGGAAATAGAAAGAGTATAATTTTTACTTGTTTTTTTAACTAAAAATTTTTTATTTTTAGTGTGTTAATATTACCACCGATCCCATTGGTTTTAATAATTGAACTTAATAGATACTGCTACAGAGGGCAACCCGAGTGCTTATATAACGCGGTACGGATAACAGCATGGAGAAGGTTTGAAGTCGTTTTAACGTTTGTTGCGGCTGCGCTCCGAAAACACTCCCATCTTTACTTGTTTCTTTATCTTGTTTGTATCTACACTGTTCGTGCGACTTGTTCGCTGCTCTGACTTCTTTCCTACGAAATAATGCTACAAACTAGACTGGCTTGGTCACGCTGATTAAACCTGACTAAATCGCTAATTTGTCCCCTGCCTAATTTCTGTTGTTAGTAGTTGCAGGCCACAGTAGAAGCGACATGGAGAGTCGTGGCAACGAAGCAATAGAACAGCTCGTTTGCTGGAGAGAGCTGCACAAGCTCTCCTTCAGCCCCGAGAAATCGGAGGCCCTGACGGTGGCCCGATCCGGAGTGTTGGCGCGGCGGCCGATATACCGGATTCGCCATCGCCATCCGTAGGGTGAATGAGTTAAAGTAACTCGGTGTAATCATCGACCAAACACTATGCTGGACGCCCCATCTAAGGAGTGTTCGTGTCAGAGCAAACCAGACGATAGCTGCACTATCGAGACTAGCAAGGCAGGACTATGGTCTTAGCGGACAAGCGATTCGAACCATCTATAAGATGAGTGTAGAACGTATGATCTGCTATGCCTGTAGTATTTGGTGGAAAGATTCTGCCAATGTCAGTCAAAGCAAGACATTGCTGACGATCCAAAGGCCGGCCGCCCTGCGGATCACGAGAGCGTACAGAACTGTGTCCACGGATGTGGCCCTGGTCTTGGCCGGGCTGCTCCCGTTGCCTCTGGTACTCAGCCAAGAGGCGGCCTTCTACAGAACGGCGGTGGAAGGCAAAGAGGCCATGCATTGTAATCGGAAGTACCCGATCAGGCTTAGACGTCGGACTGACGTTCTAAAGATCCATCCTGCCCTTAGGATTGGACTCGATTGGGATGTCGCTGAACCGACTGGTACGGGTGTTGAAATATACACCGATGGCTCAAAAAACGGCAGCTTGGTAGGCGCGGCATACTGCGTCTACTCTGACTGAGTTGAAGTGTACTATAGATCGGTCAGATTGAACGAGGAAGCGACCGTGTTCCAGGCGGAACTGGTGGTCCTAGAGGAGGCGACCCAGTGGATCCTGCTACACCCGGGTCCGGAGCCGGTCACGGTTTACTCAGATAGCCAGTCGTCGCTACAGGCCCTGAGCGACGGGTACCATCGTGACTAGTGATGTGCTGGATCGTTAAAAATGTATATCCGCGGATACGGATACGGATACGGTTCATTAGTGTCTAGATCCGCGGATACGGATACGGATACGGATCTCTACTTTCGTACTCAGTCGGCGCCGGTGCGTGTGAACTTGGACCGATAGTTGACGCTTTGCGTTAATAACGCGACTTGTTTCGACTTGCACTGCGCGTGTTTTTGTTTATAGTGTGAAAGTGTGCTAAATTAGAATTCACCACAAAAGGCAGACAGGATAAAGTAACAAAAGTTGATATAATTTTCCAATTAAGCTATTTTGCGTCTTTATACAGATTCTATTTCGGGGGATTCCAACTTCACGGGGCAAACAGTAGCATGCGAAATTACGGCGATAATAATACCCCGCGTTTCTTTATGCAGCGAGAATGTAGCGAAATGACGTCACGAGCAGTGTTGGCCACTTAGAAACCAGTTTCAGTCTGTTCGCTGTAAAGCGCTTCTCGAGCGCTGCATAAAGAAACGCGGGATACTTCGCTGTATCCAAAGCACGTGTACAATACAGATCCCGATCGCGACAATATAACCCGGAACCTTAAAACTAACCTTAAACACTAACTTAACACTAATAACAGAAAAAGGGATAGAATTAAGAAGACAGAAAAAATGGTAGATAAGATAGAAATAGGGATATCTGGGGTTTTGTCCCTTTTTTCGGCTTGTTTCTTTATGCGTACTATTGGGTGGGATAACACACGTCCTTCTCCTATAACTGGCCACTTCTCTTCTACAATAATTAGGATTTTTTCCTTCCACAGTCGTCAATACGACCTTAAAACATGATCTTTTTTCTGAACTTATTTCTGAACTATCGGGTCATTGAAAATACGACTCCCAGTATTCTCACCTCGTCCGTACACTCTGCCGTCCGGTTTACGAATGACCTGCTACGTCACTTCTCTTTTTTCTCCGGCTCCTGCTTACACCTTTGCTCCTCAAATTTCTAGGAACTGCTCATCCCACTCAAGGGACAGAGAATAGATAAGAAAGTTCTACAAGAAAATAGAATAGAACAAAGGGTAGAAAGAAGAAACGAAACTAAACTAAAATTAATATTTACAAAAATATAGCGTACCGCCACAATAGTTTAGTGCAGTGTTTTCCAACCTTTTTTGTGCTATGCCGCACCTAAGCCCAGGGGCGCCGCTAGCTGTTTGAACGCCCGTGTGCAATACCGATTATGCCGCCCCCTGTTTAACTACGATTACCTATGCTGAGCTTGCCAGAAAGGCTCTTTGCCGCCCCCCTGACGTGCCGCCCGCGTGCGGTGCACGCCTTGCACGCCCGCTTACGGCGGCCCTGCCTAAGCCTTTCTAAAATTCTTATGTCTCCCTAACATATACTGCGGCTATACAGTTAACTTAAACTCTGGAAAGTGCATTTTCGAATTGCCCTCCGTAGCAATCCAATTGCCCTCTGTGGGGCGTGGGCCCCACGTTGGGAAACACTGGTTTGTGGCTAGTGTGACACGAGATAGCGTAGATTACGTTTGTGTTTTTGGAGAGTGTTGAGTTAAATTAAAATAAAAACAACGTCGACAAAAAAGTTTAGTAGTGTAATATGGAAATATTTTACGATAGTAAACGACGAATGTGCTATTGCTACCTATCTTTAAAATTTCATATAAGTAATGAAATTCATTAAGATCCGTTAATGATCCGCTAAAAAGTAACGGATACGGATACGGATACGGATCTTTTTTTTCCCTCGGATATCCGCGGATACGGATACGGATACGGATATCCGGCACATCACTAATCGTGACCCATTGGTACAGGAGATTACAGGTGGGGTACTGAGGGCGAGGCACGAACGACACGTTGTCCTGCGGGTGTCCTCGCGGTGACGCGAGACACTACGTACTTGACTGTCCTCTAACACAGGACTTCCGCTTAGGGGCTGACCAAGTTGACTGGACTAAGCCTTCTGAACAAGTACTTCGAACGCTAGCAGCTAGTAAAGGGAACTTAAAGAAACTAAAGGAATTGATGGGAAAAATCATAGATCTTTTTGATCTATAAGTCTTGAAGGCTTGTTTGGGCCCCCTCCATTCGGGGTAAGGGCCCCGCTGTCCGTATACCTACTATATGTAGGTACATGTTTGAGTAACTGTATAAATGTGAGCTGGAACAGGTTTAGTAGTGTGGACCATTAGTGCAATACAGGCTGCACAAACAAAAGTTATGCCAAGTTAGTGAGCTGGGCCAGGGTGCGGACGGGAGCCCGAATGATGTATCATAGGGCCCAGCTATGACGTCCCTGTCTACCGTGTCAGGTACCGACCAGTCGATGAACAAGGCATAGTCTCTTTAAACCCTGTAGTGCCATTAGGCGGGTCAGGGAAAAGAGTTCCTTATGAGACCTGCCTAATTGTCTATTATGTAAGGCGAAATCTTGATCGAATGAAATTTTATGCAATTTAATTAGTCAGCAATATTTATCAGTTTCTTATTTAAGTTTGTTTATTTATGGGCAACGCAACATTTGGGCGATCTGCATAGGGAAATGCTTTCTGGGAGGTCTTTTTAAAAGAAACTGGCCACTATTTAGGCGTTACAGACGTGGAGAAAACTCGAAAAAATCCACATGGCAAGCCGTCCGAGCGAGGCGCGAATCCACGACCCAAATCCCAATGGTCAGGTTACAGAAGACCGCTCGACCACTAATGGGCCTTCTTATTTAAGTCTAAAAAAAAAAAAATTGCATTCGGTAGTAGAAGTACTTACTTGAAACGTAGTTCAGGACAGTAGCGACTGTATCTAGTCCTGGCAGACAGAATTATGTACTGGGACTAACATGAATTATAAATATGTAAACACATATTTAATGTGTTTATATATTAGATTTTATATAGCGTTTGTGTTTATATAGCGGTGCTTTAATAATCGCTAATTGATATTTGTTTAATGAGTACTGTACTGTACATCAAATTTACTTGAGATTTCAAGGATATTGGAAGAATATAAATTAGCCCAGTTCATTATCAATTTTGTTATGTTTCATTTACATAAATTCTCTAAAAATTTTAATTGATGAAATTCATTTTCCGGAAATAAGAGACTTCTATGAAGACTTTTAACTGTTTACCTATTTAAATTGTGCAATTTTTCTCCCTGCACTTTCAATAATGGGCTTTCAAAGTGAATTGATTATTTACGTAAGTTAAATAAAACACCAGCAAATATATTGATTAGAAAGATCTTTAGAATGAACGAAAACATTCTTAATTGATTCTTATTTAGTTATATAAGACGGCCGGATGGCCGAGACGGTCACCGCAGAAAATTTTGAAGGTCCTTCTTCTGTCAACCGGTGGCTCCACTGCGGGCCTAGCGAAACTCACAATGGGTACGATAAAAATTGATGTTTTTAGTGCCCGGCAGACATAAAAACTAAAACAAACGAGTTACATATCCTCGAAAGAAATATATCAGAAACTGTTTACAGATCAATGTCTTGTTGATACAGACAAACCTTCACTTTTGCCCGGTCCTGCAATGTTTTAAATGATGTCGTATTGGACATAGTTCTTGGGATTGTTTAGAAAACAGTAATGTTTGTAGTCATTGTTCTGGAAATCATGATTTTATGGAATGCCCTAACAAGGAAGAGCAACCTACATGTGTCAATTGTCTACAGAATCATAGTGAAGAACACAGGCACAA